AAGCGACCTGGGCCACTGTCAGCGCTGCGTCGCGAGGACCCTTCGCCGTATTGTTAGGTAGAACTGCATTTTAATGACTATGTCCCTGCTGTTGCCCCAAGTGACGGGACGACCTCCCGGCACAATGAAACGCTTGTGTGAAAGAGATTTTTTTAAAGGAAGAGAGAAATTGGGGCATAAAACGCTGAATTGAGGGAAACTGAAAAGAAGAGAATAGGATTCTGTTGAAAAGGAGATGAGAGGCTCTGGGTGTTTCTTAAAAAACGTATTTTAAAATGCAATTGGAAATCAGGGCGGCTCCGTAAAAACGCCCAGGAATAGACGATCTAGTATAATAAAGTTTTTATTTTACGGCTATGTCCCCTATTTCGGCGGTCTGGCAGATACGGCCCAGCAATTGACATTTCGGGGATGCGAAAGAATGAAGGGACAAGAGACTAATCAAAGTTTTAGGCTATTTCAGCTGGACAGGGGAAAAAAAGCACCACCTTGTAATCACATTTGTAAGGTTAATTGATTGGTAGACATTAAGATAAAAATAGACATCACTAAAATTATTCCATAATGAACAGCTTTGCAGAAAAGTAATTTGGTCTACGCTTTCCTGCTACTTTAATTATACAAAACATATGAATTACCACCAGCGTGACATTGTAAGGGAAAACCAAACTTGGAGACATATAGACATATTTTGATCAGCCGGAAAGAGTAAATAGTGCAACTGGTTTAGAGCTGGTTTAAGCTTTTAAATACCTGCTTTTATAATGAGAAGTCTTGGGGGGGGGTGCCAGTGGCAGAGGAAGGAAAAATGTCCCTCCATGACAGCTTAATAGTGAGCCATCCACTGGGGCAGTACTTTCTAAATTGCTGCGGATTAAACAGCTGGAGAGCCCACTGAGGAGTCCTCCATCAGGGCTGCCTCCTCTCGCCCACACAGGGTCATACGGGGTGGGGAAGTGAGAATTCACCAGTCATTACACACAGTATTTCAGGCCGGGGACACTTCAGGCCTGTCCTGTTACCTGCTCACTTCACAAGCCACAAGCGACTCAGTCCACCCTCTTGTATGACAAGGTAACAGGGATTCACTCTCACACATAAATAAGCATGTCCAGGGGGGAAAAAATTACCTCTGCGTGCTGCTTTTAATTAAAGCCTCGGAGGGACAGTGTCGGATTATGGTAATGAGCAGACATACGTCCCCTCTTGTAGACTGCAGAGAAAGGTTAGTTGACATGGAATTAGTGGCCCTGACACTCTGCTTGAAATCCATTCGCCATGCTCGGCTGTCTCCGCCTGCTCGCGGGTGCTGCTCCCCTCTTAGGAAGAAAAGGAAAAACCATCTCCCGCACCCAGCTTCATACATGGGAGAAGCGCTTTCCCTCAAGGGCTAGATGTTTCTTCCAGTAACAGAAGTCTAGAGGCTAAGAAGCAGTGGCATTAATCTCTCTCACCTTCACCCCTCAAGCTGACCCGCCCAAACCAAAGCGATGTTCAAATGACCTGGTCTTTCCTAGTTCTTTCTTTTCTTTTTCCCTATAGCCTGTCAGCTCCAGAGCTCCCACCATGCTATTTTTAAAAAGTGTCCCTTTGTTTAACATTTTACAAATATGCTAACATTTTACCTAGTCTACTTTAGTTTGGAAATAGAAGGTATGCCAAAACCAGGCAAGTTGAAGGAAAATCTGTCTAGTAGTTGAACTGTTCTGCCTGGGCAGTACAAGCAGGGATGCAACTCACCTTCTCATCCTTATGTCTATCCCCAGTGATGGAGGATTCCGGCATCCAGCGGGGCATCTGGGATGGAGATGCCAAGGCTGTCCAGCAGTGTCTGACAGACATCTTCACCAGCGTGTACACTACCTGTGACATCCCTGAGAATGCAATCTTTGGCCCCTGTGTCCTGAGCCACACATCTCTCTATGACAGCATAGCTTTCATAGCACTCAAATCCACCGACAAGAGAACAGTGCCGTACATCTTCCGGGTGAGTCTCTGCGGGGCTGTGCAGGAGCATGAGGGTGATGCTCCATGGACAGTGACCTGAGAATCATTCTGGTGACAGGTGGAGCCAGGTTTCAAAAGTAGAAAAAGCAGTACTGCAAGCAGTCGTGTTCTGCACACCAGAAATCAGAAAAGGAAAATTCAACGCAAATGATTTTGTCAACTGATTTTCTGGAATAAATGACAAAATGTTATGTGAAAGGTTAGAAATGACTGCACCACAGTGCTCCGGTCCTGTCTGGAGTTCCCCTGGTGATGAGCAGGACTTCCTAAACTCCTGAGGAGATTTCACTGGGGCTGAGGCTATTTGCAAGCCAAACACTTCCTGCAAGTACTTCCACAAGTGTTGGGAACATTCGCCCCATATAGGAGGCCTCCCCATGCCCTAAACGTTACTTTTCTCGGTAACACTAGCTAGTGCCCAGTTTGTATTTAAATGAAAACGTTAATGGTTTTATCATTAAAGCGTCATTAAATCCATGTGTTTGGGTTTGAAGATAAAAGGCCTCTCATTTCCTATTCTTTCTTTACGAAGAAAATTTATTGATCAAGCCAAGGTTTGGAGGATGAATGCCACAGGATAATTTCTGAGATCTAAGCTTGCTTTTTTTTGCTTCCAAAACAAACAAAACTCCCCTTACCTTTGCAATGTGGGGGTAATTTAGAAGCAAATTCTCTAGAGGTTAAACTGATTTCAAGAAGAAATTTCCTCATTTGGCGTTCAACCAACATACAAAAACAACAACTTAATCTGTGTGATTGACGCAGTGTTTCAGGAGATGGCCATCTTGCCTACTGAAGGACAGGTCCCAACTTGGGTCAAGTTTTGGAAAGCTTGGTCTCAGACAATTTTTGGAAAAGGCGAACGTGGAGGACTTGTCCGCGGTCCTCCTGGCTTCATCTCTCACACAGGTCTCTCTCCCCCTTTCCCTTCTTCCTTCTTCTATTTCAAATTGTAGGTGGACACCTCAGCGGCAAATGGTTCTTCCGAAGGTCTCATGTGGCTGCGACTGGTCCAGTCCGCCAGAGATAAAGAAGAGCAGAACCTGGAAGCCTACATCAAAAACGGACAGCTGTTTTACCGCTCTCTCCGCAGGATCGCCAAGGACGAGGAGTTGCTGGTTTGGTACGGGAAGGAGTTGACGGAGCTGCTCTTGCTCTGCTCCTCTAGAGCCCACCACAAAATGAACGGTAGGTTGGTCCGAGACCTGCGCGGGGCCCTGCGGCCGGCGAGCCTTTCTGCCTTGGGGGAGTCCCACGGGAAGCTCCTGGGATGCAGCGTGGAAGGACGCTGAGACAGACAAGCGAGGATGAGTGGGGACACGTGGCGTGGCGGCTGCAGGCCCTGAGTTGGGAGGGGAAGCCGGATCCGGCAGATCAGAGACCGGGAGGGCGCGTGAGCCGGGCGATGCCGAGTAACCGTGGTGCCTGTACGGTGTTTGCTCGCTCGGCAGGCGCGGCCCCCTACACGTGCCTGGAGTGCAGCCAGCGCTTCCAGTTTGAGTTCCCCTACGTCGCGCACCTGCGCTTTCGCTGCCCCAAGAGACTTCACAGCGCCGACGTCAGTCCCCAAGATGAGCCAAGCGGCGGCGCGGGCGCCAAGGACCACGGCGGCGGCAAGGAT